ATGATTCCTTCCGATTTTTTGTGCTGAAAGCGGTACCATTTTTTCGCATGGAAATATTTTTTTTTATTGTAGGCTGTAATTTTTAGGAAAGTTTCCCCACAAATCATTATCACTCAATTCTGCAAGTGGTTCTGATTTACTATAGCTGTTCTCTAGCCGGTCTAAAACCGCTTTTGACCTAAAGGGACGCTTTTTGGACGCCATGGACTTTTCTAAGTTTCCAGGCAGAAAGAAACAGACAAAATGCAGGCAGGGCACAGGACAAAGCACTAGGGACAATATGTATGTGAAATGGGATGAAACAGCAATGTTTTACTATTGAAAATTGAAAAAAAAAAAAAAGACATTTTTTAAATTTTTTAAATTTCCCGCCGCCGGCGGCGCCCGTATGTCCCGACGTCACGGGGACCGGAACACAGAAGCCGGATGCCGGCATCGGCCGGAGGAGATGGCCGGGGACGCTGCAGGGGACACATCGCGGGAACGAAGGACAAGGTAAGTGCTGCAGGGACCCCCAGAGCAGCGCCGCATGGTAAGCCTGAGTGTAGCTCGTGGTATAGAAATTCTACCACGAGCTACACTCGGGAAAACCGCCAGGGAGGTTAAAAGAGCCGCGGCTTGCCGACCACTGAGCTACGGCAACCCTATTGCCTGTCACCTGGTGGGCAGTGTGCTCCGGAGCCGCAGCAAAGGTGAAAAAGAGCCGCATGCGGCTCTGGAGCCGCGGGTTGCCGACACCCGGCCTAGGCTATAAGAAGATTTCCAAGACCCTGAAACGGAGCTGCAGCACGGTGGCCAAAGACCATACAGCGGTTTAACAGGACAGGTCCCACTCAGAACAGGCCTCGCCATGGTAGACCAAAGAAGTTGAGTGCACGTGCTCAGTGTCATATCCAGAGGTTGTCTTTGGGAAATAGATATATGAGTGCAGCCAGCATTGCTGCAGAGGTTGAAGGGGTGGGGGGGGGTCAGCCTATCAGTACTCAGACCATACGCCGCACACTGCATCAAATTGGTCTGCATGGCTGTTGTCCCAGAAGAAAGCCTCTTCTAAAGATGATGCACAAGAAAACCTGCAAACAGTTTGCTGAAGACAAGCAGACTAAGGATATGGATTACTGGAACCGTGTCCTGTGGTCTGATGAGACCAAGATAAACGTATATGGTTCAGATGGTGTCAAGCGTGTGTGGAGGCAACCAGGCGAGGAGTATAAAGACAAGTGTGTCTTCCCTACAGTCAAGCATGGTGGTGGGAGTGTCATGGTCTGGGGCTGCATGAGTGCTACCAGCACTGGGGAGTTACAGTTCACTGAGGGAACCATGAATGTCAACATGTACTGTGACATACTGAAGCAGAGCATGATCCCCTTCCTTCCGAGACTGGGCAGCAGGGCTGTATTCCAACATAACGACCCCAAACATACCTCCAAGATGACCACTGTCTTGCTAAAGAAGCTGAGGGTAAAGGTGATGGACTGGCCAAGCATGTCTCCAAACCTAAACCCTATTGAGCATCTGTGGGGCATCCTCAAATGGAAGGTGGAGGAGTGCAAGGTCTCTAACATCCACCAGCTCCGTGCTGTCGTCATGGAGGAGTGGAAGAGGACTCCAGTGGCAACCTGTGAAGCTCTGGTGAACTCCATGCCCAAGAGGGTTAAGGCAGTGCTGGAAAATAATGGTGGCCACACAAAATATTGACATTTTAGGCCCAATTTGGACATTTTCACTTAGAGGTGTACTCACTTTTGTTGCCAGCGGTTTAGACATTAATGGCTGTGTGTTGTGTTATTTTGAGGGGACAGCAAATTTACACTGTTATACAAGCTGTACACTCACTACTTTACATTGTAGCAAAGTGTCATTTCTTCAGTGTTGTCACATGAAAAGATATAATAAATTATTTACAAAAATGTAAGGAGTGTACTCACTTCCGTGAGATACTGTATATAGAAGTGAAACAGATGAAGCTTACTTTCATTGTTTTCATAGTAGGGAAGAGGGGTAAAAGAAACAGGGAGTTCTTTTGATTTATACATTTAAAGGCAAAAAAGTAAAAAAAATAGAAAAAAAGCTTCTGTTTGACCAGTGATCATTTTAAAACAACAAGTGTTAGTATAGATATAAATTTATAAAGAAATATAAAAGAAAACAAAACCTAGCTAAGGGGAAGCGAGAGTATTTAATTAGGGAAAGTTCAATTCATGGGTTGTATAGTCAAAATGCTTATTTTTTGTTTCTTTCTTTTTAAATTCTGCTCTCAGGTTTGCTTCAGCAACTCCTGTGTAAAAATAATAATGTAGAAATAAAAGTAGATACATTGTAATTAGATGCGCCTGACAGGCAATGTATCTTTTTTTTTTTGCTCTGATTTCACTAACACCTGTCAAACTGGCCATACACTATACAATTTTGATTGTACAACCTATGGCAATTGCCTTTAGCTCTGCCAAAACTATATAATATGAATCCTTTTAATTAGTATCAAATCAGGCAGGCATTATATCACGTAGGTGATGGTAGATCTATCCTTACTAATCTGATTGTACAATCTCCTTTAGATCTACCAGCAACTCTGTAGTGCAAGGGTCTGCCGGACTTAATACAAACTAATTAGGTTGTTTAGGTGAGTCTTCCCTTGCATAGTTTTGTTAATCTAAGACCTGGTTCACACTGGTGTGAATTGCCATCCAATTTGACAGTTTCAAATCACATGACAAGTGTCACCCTATTGTCAGCAATGGAACCATTCAAATCAGTGTGACTCCGACTTTGCAGGGCTGCAGCAATTTAAAAAAAAGGTTCCTGCACTATTTTTTTGTGATTTCAGGTGCGACTTGCATAGACATCTCTGCATGAAGTCGCACAGATGTGTGCCAAGTCGCACCTGAAGTGAAGTCGCACTACTTCAAAGTCGGAACCAATGTGAACCAGGGCTAAAGAAGATTGTATGATCAGAATGTATAGTGCTTTACACAGATCAGTGATGAGAGCTTCTGTAGTTCTGCTATACATTGTGATTTCATCTGTAAAACTGACAATATGTCTAAGCATTTCCATTTGTGAGTACGCAACCAATGGGAATAGCTCTAGGACATACCAGGTACACTACAGGTCCTTAAATGGGTAATATACTGATATTAGTATTTATTTTGTAGCAGATTTTGTTTCCATACACATACATAGGAAAAAACAACTACCGTATATACTCGAGTATAAGCCGAGTTTTTCAGCACATTTTTTGTGCTGAAAAACGGCCCCCTTATACTAGAGTCAACGTCTCCAGGTGTGGGCGGGATGACATGCCGTCCCTGTCATCTGGACACACCCCCGGGATCAATCCTCGCCGGTGATTGGCCGCCGGAACTGTAGCTCAGGAGAGGCACACAGGCGCCCAATCACCGGCGAGGAGGTGGAGCTTGGAGAGGAGGAGCCGAGCGGCACCGCGAAGATCGAGCGAGTGAAGAGGAGGAGAGCGGCCGGAGAAGGAAGACATCTGACCGGTAAGTGTGTACCATGGGAGAGGGAGGGAGCGAGCGAGCCCAGGCTGGAGCAGGGGTCAGCAAGGTAAGTATCATTGGTGTCAGTGGGAGGAATTGTGCCCAATCATTGGTGTCACTAATACCAACGATGGGGCACTATTCCTCCCCCCACTGACACCAACGATGGGGCACTATTCCTCCCCCCACTGACACCAACGATGGGGCACTATTCCTCCCCCCACTGACACCAACGATGGGGCACTAGTCCTCCCCCCACTGACACCAATGATGGGGCACTATTCCTCCCCCCACTGACACCAACGATGGAGCACTATTCCTCCCCCCACTGACACCAACGATGGGGCACTATTCCTTCCCCCACTGACACCAACGATGGGGCACTATTCCTCCCCCCACTGACACCAACAATGGGGCACTATTCCTCCCCCCACTGACACCACCGGCTTATACTCGAGTCAATAGTTTTTCCCAGTTTTTTGTGGTAAAATTAGGTACCTCGGCTTATATTCGGGTCGGCTTATACTCGAGTATATACGGTATATAACAAGTACAGTTTCCCACTAAAGCAGTGGTCTCCAAACTGCGGCCCACAGGCCAGATGTAGAACTTTGCTTACCTTTATCTGGCCCTCAGACACTATTCCTTCCACTGATACAATGCACTATTCCTCCCACTGACACCAACAATGAGGCACCATTTATTCCACTGAAACCAACAGTGGGGTTTAATTCCTTCCACTGACACCAATGAAGGGGCACTATTCTTCCCTCTGACACCAATGATGGGACACTATTCTTCCCACTGACACCAATGATGGGACACTATTCTTCCCACTGACACCAATGAAGGGACACTATTCTTCCCACTGACACCAAAGAAGGGGCATTGCAGCACTATTCCTTCCACTGACTCTAACGATGAGGCAATATTCCTCCCACTGACACCAATGAAGGAGCACTATTCCTTCCTCTGACACCAACGATGAGGCACTATTCCTCCTCCTAATGACCACGAGTTCTATGTAATTTTTATTTACTCCCACTGACCAATAAGCCTGCAGCACTGTTTACTCCCACTGACATTGGAGCATTTTCTACACCCACTGGCTATGGTCCGGTCCCTTTAAAGTCTGAAGGACATAAAACTGTCCCTTTGTTTAGAAAGCTTGGAGACCCCTGCATTAAAGGATCAAAGCCAAGTATTTGGATAGGTGCTGGCGGACCGAGTCATCCAATGGCTTCTCATGGTTATTACATGAAGGTCTGGCTATGGCCGTTATAAAGTTAATATAATAGGTGAAGTATGGCTGTATGATAACTAGAGACAGAAAAGTCCAATGGATAACTTGACAGTCAGCCCACCAGCATCCACTTAAAACTGGCATGTTGGTTTTACGTAGAGTGACCTTTTACCATTCTTACAACCGTTTTGCTTAATTTGGCCCATCCAAAATTCTTGAAATTAGTTCAAAAATGAGGACAAGAAAACCTGTTGACAAACCTGTGTTCTGTGCCATATGACGGATGCCCGAGAATGACCTAATTTGTTCCGACATGGTCCTTTATCGTAATGTATCAGCAGGAAGTCATCCTGTATAAAAGAATAAAACAGCATAACAAAAAGCTCTGCATATTTCTATTCATAGCTACGCTGAGATGTAAGAATTGTAGATTGAAATGTATACTGACATCCAGTGACTCCAGGCAGTACCAGCAGAAGGCGTGCTTGCAGTTCTTACACATCATTTGTGCGCAGCCTTCATCCCGTTCTATGTACACTTTACATTTAGGACAACGTTTGATTGGTACATCATCTTCCACAGTTTTCTGTGCGGTGCTGAAAGAACAACGGCTCAGACTGAAGCAAATAAAGACAAATGCTGTATAAGAACATCCAAATATGCAGTAATCAGCAGTGTTAAAACTCATTAAATTATCTCCCATCGCCTACACACTGGGGTAAGGCTAGAACTTTTGATTTTGGCAAAATAACATTTTTGTGCTTAACCACTCTCAGTCTGCCCTATAGCAGATTTACTGCTACAGGCAGGAGTTCTGTGCAAAATCACATGTATAAATGTGATTCTGCACTTCCACCATAGGGGGCGCACGTACACCACCGGTGAATGACAGAACACTGTCCCTGCAAAGCAGGGACTGTCCCTGCAAATAAAATCTAGCAGATTGCCTAGTAAAAACAGCACATAGTAAACACAAACAAAACACTGGCTAGGCGCAATTGATGAAGAAATTAGATTTTTTTTTTTTAAATGTTATTGGATATGTTTTATAGCAGAAAGTATTGCTCTTTAAAAAAAAAAATATTCTATATGCTTTCATTTTCAGCACAAATAAAAACCCAGAGGTGATAAAATACCACCAAAAGAAAGCTCTATTTGTGGGAAAAATGATATAAAATTAATTTATGCACAGTTTTGCATGACTGCGCAATTGTCAGTTAAATAACGCAGTGCTGTATCGCAAAAATGGCCTGATCACGAAGGAGGGGTAAATCTTCAGGAGGTCAAGCAATTGTAATCCTTACCAATACCCAGTGAAGTGACTGATGTCAAGTGATACACAGAGATTAAAAAAATCCTCCTGCATAAGTTGTACCTGTTTATCTGCAGTGTTCTCTTTTCTACAGTCATTCAAAGTGCTGAATTACAAAGCTCGTGTTCAGAAAAAAGGGGGTGGAGAGCTGATGGTACACTCTGCAGAGCTCAGTGAGGAGAGCTCTGAGAGCTGATTGGAAGGAAGAGACCCCCCCTCCACACAGCTCACAGGAACGTTGTCAGAGTAGGACTGGCCAAAAGGAATTACTTTGACCCAGTTGGCCAGCTTAAACATGTATTGCAATATATGTGAACTGTCAGCTGGAGGTCCCTCCTCTGTCACCAATCAGCTGGAGGTCCCTCCCCTGTCACCAAATCAGCTGGAGGTCCCTTCCCTGTCACCAATTTTCTCTTGGTTTCAGGAAAACTTGTCAGAATTGAATCATGCTAATAACAGATGAATGAAACAGCAGACAGAAATAACACTTAGGGCTCCTAATTGTGACAAGTACATGCTATGGAGGGATAATAATTTATTCATATTTCATGTCTGAGGTTTACAGTCACTTTAACATATTGTTTTTTCTTTTTCATTGTAGGACACAGGAAATCAGAAACATGTGGGCTATACTGCTGACTACAGAGGTTGAGACACTGGCAGATAGAAAAACTGTAAGCCAACCCCGATATAACCCCTCCTCTACTCAGCATGCCTCAGTTTTGTGAAAAGACAGCAAGGCCAATAAAAGCACACAGGGGTTGGGGCCTTTCAGTATTGTCAATATCAAGCTAAGATCAAGAACACGGGACATAACTTTAAACTAGCAGGAGGAAAGTTAAGAACCAATCTTAGAATACATTCTTCTACCAAAAGAGTAGTTGATGCTTGGAACAGACTTCCAGCAGAGGTAGTGAGTTTGTCAACAGTAAGTGGATTCAAACATACTTGGACAAACATAGATCTATACTATAAAAAAACCAAAAAAAAATGAGGTAGATTTGATGAACCACTTAGTCTTTATCTTCTGTCACTCTTATATGTTTCTGTGTTTCTATGACACATCTGAAGCCTTGAGAGCCATATACAGTATAGAGGTTGGTTATATCAACTGTATGATATGTATTCAGCCCCTCTCTTTAGACTCAGCGATCATCTATTAATAGTAGGATGAAAATATCTCTCAGAAAAAAAAAATACACAAATGTATGAAAGGTTAACATTGTCAACAATATGCTTTTCTTCTCGGATAAAATGACAAAATGACAATGTCAATATCAAGCTAAGATCAAGAACACGGGGACATAACTTCAAACTAGCAGAAGGAAAGTTAAGAACCAATCTTAGAATATATTCTTCTACCAAAAGAGTAGTTGATGCTTGGAACAGACTTCCAGCAGAGGTAGTCAGTTTGCCAACAGTAAGTGGATTTAAACATACAAGAGTACTGGGGAGGTATAGTACATTTAATACAGGAAATAATGGAGGTCAATATTTCAAAGAAACCAGAGACTTGTCTTCTTTATGGTTCTGTGCTCCCAGTAAAAAAATATAAAAAAACTGGATTAGTGTACTATTTGAATGCCGCCGAGGGTTTGATACCCAAATTTTGGAAGAAACAACAAGCACCGAGAGTAAAGGAATGGATAGAAAGTGTGGAGAGGACTTACAAATTGGAGGAACTCTACCACATGGAGGAAGATAGGATGGAGATTTTTCGCAAAAGATGGGAAAAGTGGGAAGGTTTTAAAAAGTCAGATTCATACTTGGAATATATGTACTAGGGAAAAGAAGTCATGGAGGATAAATATAATATTAAAAAAAGTAATATTCTTTTAGGAGAAATAGAACAAGAAGGAAAGAAATTAATCAGGGCTGCGGGGGTGGGCTTAAAGGCTTGAGAGGTATGGGGTAGGAGGGAGGGGAAGGGAGATGGGGAAAAAGGATACCAAGAGTAATGTCAATGTTTGGATATATTGTTAGATAAATATGAGTATTATAATTTGATGTTTTTTTTTTTTTTTTTTTTAGTTTTTGTATATGGAAAATGGTATTTTGAAAATGTTTAATAAAAAATAAACATACATGGGACAAACATTGATCTATACTGTAAAAAAGCAAAAAAAAGATCTATACTATAAAAAAGGGAAACAAATGGGGCAGATTTGATGAACCACTTAGTCTTTATCTGCTGTCACTCTTGTATGTTTCTGTGTTTCTATGACACATCTGAAGCCTTGAGAGCCATATACAGTATAGAGGTTGGTTATATCAACTGTATGATTTGTATTCAGCCCCTCTCTTTAGACTCAGAGATCATCTATTAATAGTAGGATGAAAATATCTCTCAGAAAAAAAAATAGTACACAAATGTATGGAAGGGTAACATTGTCAACAATATGCTTTTCTTCTCGGATAAAATGACAAAGAGGACTGAGAAGCCCATTAACCTTCTGTTACATGACATCCCTGTCTCCTTGGAAACTCTGAGATGAGTTTTAGATAATGAGAGCAAAGTTGTTGCCCATAGAAACCAATTAGATCCCAGCTATCTATTTTCTAGTGCTGGTTCCAACATAAACACAAACATTTGATTGATCATTGTACACATTGGAGACAGTCTTGCCGAAATCCTGACATAAATCATATTGACTCTCCTTGCTAACCCAGGCTGCTTTCACACTGATCAGTTTTTCTTCCATTTTTGCATTAAAAAAAGCAGAAGGAAGTTGCACGACCATTAAATCCTATGGAACTCTTCATACTGGTCAGTTGCAGGTCTGTTTTGTTTTTCAATGTCCTCCAAGCAGCATTTTTGGCGCATGTTTGGTGCAATAAAAAAAGGACAAAAAAAACACACCTCCCCATTAAAATTGATAGAAAACACATAAAAAATGTCACACATCCTTTTTTCACAGGTGCAAAACGCACTGGAAATGCACCAAAAAAAAGGCATCTGCGTTTTTACCACGTTTTTGCAATAGAGCAGTGTGAAAGTAGCCTTGCTATCATATTTCATAACTGACAGTTTGCTTGTTCCAATGTAGTGCAAGGATGCTGAACTGCACCTCCTCCCTCACTGTTGCATGTTGTAGAATGGGTGTACCACCCTGCGTTCATTCCTTGCCCCCTTGCTTTGCTGCCCCCAGGGCAGCTGCCCTTCCTGCCCACCCCTTGTCCGGGTCGTAGTGTTCATATCAATGTTGAGCTGCTAATGCGGGAAGCTTTAGCATTGTCAGTATGTGACTTCTAGATAAATGTGACAAAGGTAAAGCCCAGCACTATTACAGTTCATTCACAGTTACATGTTAGGAACTACATTTAGGTCTCACACCACCAGCATTTTATTAGGAACTTTTTTATGGACCTAAATGTAGATGTATTGTTTTCTATGTGCATAAGCATGCAGCTGCATAAAAGTAAGTAATCTTGTGCTGCGTTCAGATCTGTAAAAAAAAAAAAGAAGAAAAACCTGCATATGAGGTCCTATGTAAGTGACCTTTTCCATTGATATTTGTGCTAACCTTTAAATGTGTACCGCATAAATTTATTTTGTTGGGGTACAAGAGTCACCTGTGTTCTAGCAAACTTTAGGCAGCTTCCATTAGAAGTCACCTTTGTCCTAGCAATGGAGGACGCTAAGCAGATTCCTTGAAAAGCCATTTGCCTTCTAGCAATTGTATGACACTAGGTCACAGAAGCCACCTGCGTCCTAGCAACGTAGGATGCTAGGCAGCTTCCTTGATAGGTTACCTGCATCCTCTGAACAGTAGGATGCTACGTAGCAGATGTGATCTTTGTATTAGCAACAACAGTTGTCAGCTTCTGCCAGCAAGATCCTGTTGATGTATTTTCATATGGCAGTGTGCTTGAGGCCTAATGGACAACTACACTCAGAAGTGGTGGAGAGATTCGTTAAAGGACAACTTCCTTAAGGGCCTGTTCACACCAGAACACGATGCGGGAAATCCATGTTCCATGCACATTTCCCCCACCATGCTCAAAGCACACTGCAGTTGCAATCTGAAAACAGGTGTCAATGTTAACTTAATGACACCCCAAACATACTTATGCCTGCACCAGATCGCATGGTACTACTGTAGCTCCCATGCTTGCCTGACCTAAATCCTATAGAACACCTCTGGCATATCATGTTTTGGTCCATCAGATGCCGCCGGGTTGCATTTCAGACTGTCCAGGAGCTCAGTGATGCCCTAGTCCAGATCTGGGAAGAAATACCCCAGGATACCATCCGTCGTCTCATTAGGAGCATGCCCCAACATTGTCAGCCATACATACATGCACGTGGGGGCCATACAAACTACTGAGTACCATTTTTAGCTGCTGCAATGAAATTTCAGCAAAATGGACTAGCCTGCTGCATCATTTTTCACTTTGATTTTCGGGGCATCTCTGAATTCAGTCCTCTGTAGGTTGATCATTTTCATTTCCATCAAACGATGGAGCATCCTTACGTTCCTAACACATTACCCAGTCTATGTCAGCACTGATATCCAGCATGATATTTTTCCTATTGAGATATGATGTGTTTTAACCTCCCTGGCGTTATGATTATTTCAGATTTTTGGTGCTGAAAAGGTACCATTATTTTGCATGGAAATTTGGCGTTTTATATTGTAGGCCTGTCATTCTTAGGAATAACTCACTGAAATCTGTCCGAACAAGAGTCTAGTAAACATTCAGGGTATGATAAAACTTGAAACATGAAATCATAAATTATAATTTAATAAATAATCATAAAAAATAATAATATAATAATAATAAATTTAATTCAATAATATAATCAAACCAAAAACACTGAAATTTGAAATAGAGCGCCAAGTTCGCACATCACTGAGCAAAGTCGCAAAATCGTTTTCAGTGTCTGATGACGAATTTCCCCACTAATCATTATCACTCAATTCTGCAAGTGGTTCTAATTTACTATCGCTGATCTCTAGCTGGTCTAAAACCGCTTTTGACCTAAAGGGATGCTTTTTGGACGCCATGTACGTTTCTCAGTTTCCAGGCAATAAGAACAGTAAAATTGCAGACAGGGCACAGGACAAAGCACTAGGGACAAAATGTATGTGAAATGGTTTGATACAGTAATGTTTTACTATGTGATTTTAGTGATTTTAGTGAATGTCACTTTTTGTCATTTTCAAATTTCCCGCCGTTCCTTCCCCCGTACGTCCCGACGCTCGCAGGGGACGGAACCCAGATGACAGATGCCGGCATCCGCCAGATTACATTGCCGGGGACACTGCAGAAGGGACATCGCGGGAGCGCAGGACAAGGTATGTGATCGACGGATCGCAGAGCAGCGCTGCATGGTATTCCCGAGTGTAGCTCGGGGTTACCGCTTGTGGTACTGAAACTTTACCCCGAGCTACACTCAGGAATACCACCAGGGAGGCTATAGAGTTCCTTTAATTTTTTTGAGCAGGATAGATAGATAGATAGATAGATAGATAGATAGTAAAATTATAAATATTTTATGTTGTTGCATGACAGACTATAGTAATGTTACATAGGAATGATTTATTAGCGATTTTTAAAAAATAAGTACCTTGATTCTCCTGGAAGAAAAGTGATTGGCAGGTTTTCTTGACAAACTTGTCCTGGGTGCCAGTTGGCTTTACATGATGAGCAGAACTCAATGTCGCAGGAAGTGCACTGTACCAGTTGTGGATTCTGGGGCCCTTTCTCTTGTAGTTTGCACACTGCCTGGCAGGAAGAAGATGGACACCAAGTCCTACACGGGTCTAAAAGAACTTCTAGAAAATCAAAAACAACAAATATTTTTTTAAAGAACCTGCAAAATAAAGATAAAATACAGACTTCACTGCAGTTAAAAGCTGAACTAAAGGTAGCTAAAATGTACCTTTCTTCCAATAGCCATGTTTCCCGCCAGCAGCTTCTCCTGTGTGCCAGTCTTTGACTGTCTTTACTTGGCTGGCGTAGGAGGCTGATATTCTGACACACAGAGACCAGAGGACCACAGAGGGCCAGCGCTGTAAGCTGAGCTGCACATGCACAGCTCAGTTTGCATCGCTGAAGAAGACAGCGAGCAGGCAGATAGGAGCATTTTATTACAGAAGAGCCATTGAATATCTCATCAGCAATAAAAGCCTGCCTGCCCACTGTTTGTCACAGCAGAACTTCAGTTCCACTTTAAGATGTTTAACTTCATCCAGCTCCCCCCCCCCAAGGTTGCTGTGATTGGAAAGTAACGTAGCAGCATCCCACACATGGGGGTTTATTTATTAACGCTGGAGAGTGCAAAATCAGGCTCACTTCTACATCAGCTTCTAACCTCAGCTGGTCCAAATAAGCTTTGGCAATAACATCTGGAAGCTGATTGGTTTGTATGCAAAAGTGAGCCTGATTTTGCACTCTCCAGCTTTAAAGTGTTACTAAACCCAGGACCCTGCATTCACTTTATCTGGCCTCCCACAGTACATGGGAGCAGTTAGAGCAGTCTTGTAAGTTCTATCAGTGTTTAACAGAGCACTGGTTAAACCTTGTAGGAGGAGTTTTCTTTCTGCTCTAGGAGGATGCAAATCCCCTGACCTCTGTCTGGACAGTGCTGGTTGGCCCTGTGCTGATCACATGCACTCTCCCATGAAAAAAAAATAACCTCTCTAGCAATACACACCAAACTGAGCATGTGCAAAATGCCTATGGTTTAGTCTGTCTTACCAGGAGATAAGAGGTGGTTGCTTGAAAAAGAGGAGGAACAGAGAAGTCAGGATCAAACAGCCTTTTTACTCAATGCAGATGATTAACCCCTTAGGTTCCACAGTGAGTATAACAAGCATGCTTTACTGCATATACAGACTGATTTTACTGTTGTGGGTTTAGTAACACTTTAATAAATAAACCTCCAAAGTGTTCCCCTGCCTCCTGGTCTGAGTGCTGCTGTACAACAGATTACAGAAAGCCGGGATCAACAGTTTCATATTTCTATTGAAAAGAAAAAACTGTTTTTCTGCCTTAATTTGGAATTAACAACATGCTACTAATCAATTAGAAATCATATATCCAGCTGAGGACCTATCAAGCAGCCAACAAACATTAATAATAACAGTGTCACAAAATCTGACCACATCAAACAATGCTCTAATTTCTCTGCAGGCAAGTAAATGCCTGACAGCTAGGTGACAACATCAATCAGACAGGTTAGGAAACCTTTTCTGATCATTACTGTCCCCCAATGTCTCTCATATATACACAGCACAGGCAGCATTTATATTGATTTTACACAAATGTTCAGGCAAATTAAAAAAAAATATTACTAGTCTCTAGTAATACAAACTAAACTGAGCATTTGCAGAGTGGCTCCAAATGATATGTCTTATCAGGAGATAAGAGGGGGACACTGGAAGAAGGGATGGATCAGAGAAGAGAGGATCAAACAGGGTTTTTACACAATACAGAGGATTAACCCCTTAGGTTCCACAATGAGTATAACAAGCATGCTTACTGCATATACAGACTGATTTTACTGTTGTGGGTTTAGTAACACTTTAAGACTTAAAGTGGTTGTAAACCCTTACATATATCCAATGTTTATCTTCAGCCCTATCTCCTCTACATCAGTTCAAAGTCTAGAATTTACACAGCATTTCTGAGCTTCAGAAGGCAGGGGGCAGTAATCTGATGCATCACATGCACAGCTGAGGCTGTAAATCACCTGCTGTCTGCTGGAGGGAGACGTCTCTCTGGATTGTCTGGTGTCAGCATAGACTATTACAAGTGACTCATGCAGATAGCAGAAGAATGAGAGAGGAGACATAAATCACACTCAGTGCTTTAGATAGAGGCAAGTCCACACTATAGAAGGATATGTCTTGTTCATTTTTCTTTTTATAGGTTCTCAACCACTTTAACAATTCATGTAAGTGGCAAAATCTCAGTACAGTAAATGAAAGTCTTGCCTGGAAGGACATATTCCATGTAGCGTGCTGCCTTTAGCTTGACCTAAAGCTCAGACCTCTGGAAGAGACGGTGAACCAATTACAGGAGCAAGGACTCTATATTCTGACTACAACTGGTGACTGTTACTAAGGCTGAAAGTAAGAGACCTTCTGTGTCACCTGTGCAAAGTCATAACCGACTCTAGAAAAAAGCCATTTGTACCAGTTTTATTACTAAATAACTCGACAGCAATCAGATATGTTAATGAAATTGATATGAAACTGAAAATTTACTTGAATGGTAATTTATTGGAAAAGCAGTGCCAGAGTACAGAATAATGTGTATTTTACCACCATTGGGTTTTTATCATTTTCAGTAATTAGGTTGATTTACTAAAACTGGAGAGTGCAAAATCTGCTGCAGCTCTACATAGGAACCAATCAGCTTCCAGGTTTTATTGTCAAAGCTTAATTGAACAAGCTGAAGTTAGAAGCTGATTGGCTACCATGTGCAGCTGCACCAGATTTTGCATGCTCCAGTTTTAGTATATCAACCCCAATGTCTCTCTATCAACTTTTTTACAGACAGCAAAGTAATTTTCCATCTGGGTCAAAGATGAAATCAAATAGTTGATTCTGAATGCGAATATACTGTGCTCGCAAGCTGACAGTTTCAAATGAAAAGCATTTATGATAAATGCAGCTGGATAGTGAGAGTAATTGCCCAGTGAATTATTTAACCTTTTTTTAAAAAATAAAGGTATTTAAATTAGGGATGTTTTGATCTAGAAAAAGTCTGAGTTTTAATTAATTATTCAGGTTCCATATGAAGATAAAAGGACAGGGCAGCAAAGTGAAGGATTAGTGTGGTGATTAAGAAGATACATTTAGGTGCTTTTATTTCCAATCTTTGATCTCAGCCAAACTGAAAGGCAGTTATAAAATCCTTTTAAGAGGAAGTTTAATTTATAATATTGACAGATCTGCTGCCTTAGAAATTATATAAGGCTACCTTTACAGCATGCGCAGGCACCCTACACACCCCCAGATTTTGCAATTCTATTATTATTATTATACAGGGTTTATATAGCGCCAACGGTTTGCTCAGCGCTTTACATTATAGTGGGAAACAATACAGCAACAATACAGTTCAATACAAGAGGGATTGAGGGCCCTGCTCCTTGGAGCTTACAATCTATAAGTCTAGGCTCACACCTATGCAGGTTGTGTTTCATTCATTTCGGCATTGCGTTTAGCGTTTTTGCACTTGCGTTTTTGATGCGTTCTGCTTTGTCTTTAATTTTTAAAATTTTTTCTTCTTGCTAGGCAGATTGTAAACGCATCAAAAACACAATGCATGTTTTTCTGCAGCATTCCCATTGAAGTTCATAGAACCAAAGACGCCACGTTTTGCGTTCAAAAAAGTCCCTGACCCTCTCTCAAAAACGCACTGGGTAAAAATAAAGAGCTGTGAACCTGTCCCATAGGAAATTATGTTAAATGGACTGTACTGCATTTCTGCAAAATGCTTCAGATAGCGTTTAGGTGCCAATTTATGGTAAAGGCTAAGACTCTGAAAATGTCATGCTCTTGCTGGCATCTCAAAATTGAAATGTCAGCTGAACCTTCAGTTGAAATCAGCTATGGAAATATATTCCAGGTGCATCAAAACTAAAGATGTGTAATATTTTACAGTTTTTTTCTAAATCAGCCACAGTCACAGAGTTGAAAAGCCTGTCCTCTGCCAGCAAAACTGGAGAAAAGGACCCTTACTCACTGTGTAGATGCAGAGGTCTCTCTGCAGTGGCTCAACACACCCTGCAAAGTCTGGGAGAGAAAGGGTCCTTCTCTGCAGCATGCTAGCGGGGACAGGCTTTTTTTTTACCCAAGATGTGGCTTCTTTCTGAGAAAATAAACTGTCAACCTAAAGTTTTAAATAATTTTCCTTATTTCAATTGAAAGTTCAGTCAGGCTTTAAAGTGGAACTATACTCACTTCGGGCTCCAGCGATGCAATGTCCCACTGGCCACTGACATATTCCAGTGGCAGGCTTCTGGGTTTCAAACGCTGGTCACTTTCATTGGCTGGGAGTGGATGACCTCACTCCCGCGAAAGGAAAGGGGAATTCCTTTCGGCTTTGACATTGCCGAATATTTACAGTGAGCTGCGCATGCGTGGCTCACTGTACAGGGGCAGACAGGCAGGAGGGTAATTTTACTGTACAAAGTATGTAAAGGCAAAGTATGTATCTTCTGCATTAAAAATCCTGCTTGTTCGCCCATTTTTATGTACCACCTAAAGTTTTACTGTAAGCAACTGAGTATTTAGAAAGAATTTCCTGTAGCTGGACTTGGGTACAGCATACATTTTTGTGCACTGATACACAATGCGTTAAAACAATTTATTCATTGAAAGCCTATGCAGGCAATTTCATTTTTAACCCACACCAATGTATGTACACAGAGTTAGCCATTGTGTAAATGATGCCTGCTCACATCTGTATTATGCATTGCCAACAAAATAGTCATAATGCCTAAACATTTTTTACCCTATTGTAATAATTGCATTCAAGTTAAAATTGTTGAGGCATTAGTATCACTCTCTCAGTCCCCCCCCCCCCCTTTTATTTACCCAAGCCCTCATTTGTTCAAGCACTGTGCACATCTGCAGCTCCCCTCTCCCATCACTTCTTGCAGGAGGGGGCGTGGCCTGAGTCCCGTTATCTGTGTCTACAGATGCAGGCAGTGGTCTTGGGAGTGAGCCCGCATGAGTGCCCCCATAGGAAGTGGCTTTCTATGAAGGCACTCGCCAGAGAGGAGGAGCCAGAAGTGCCAGCAGGGGCCCAAGAAGAAGAGTTT